TGAGGGAGTGTGGGCCGGCTCCGTTGATGAAACGTGGTTCCCATCCGCATGCCTCCCGGTCTTATTCCTTCGGGTTTACACTGGATATGGGGTATGTGATTGGAGCTGTGGGTGGTGCAGCGCAAGCCACCCGTGGTCCCTCTGTAGGCGCAGGCGTCCTGTGGCTGGCCACAGTGACAGGAAAATCCGAAACCGGATGCCGCCAACCATGTATGTATGTGTGCCCCATGCTGAGGCTGATGTTGCATTCTTGACGCATCTTCACCGTAGTTGGGCTAAACCAACTAACACTTAAACCAGGTCTTTTTAAGCTGGATAAATTTCATTCCGCTTTATTTGGTTTGTTCTGCCTACTTGAATAATCTTCTATTAACTGGCCACGTTGCTTACACTAATTGCGCTTATCTTCAGTAGCTGTTGCGTTTGTGGCATTTTTAAGTAAATTGTGGACATATTTTACTTATCACGGATTCGTTGTTAACCAAGTTACTTCCGTTGCTAGTTTAACGAAGAGTTATGTCACAGTATCTGCATGCAACATTAGATTTATTTGATTTGATATCGTCGTTTAAAGTGATTCGATGTTGATTGATATTCCCGCTGTGACTGCGCTTGATGTGCAGGTTGACAATGTGCCTACCTGTCTATTACCCACTACCGCGTTCATACTGACTCCAGGAGACCGTTGACCGTTGCTGAAGGGGACGGCGTGCACCGTCTTTGTGGTCCTGCTAGGCTCAAAGAGTGGTTGCATGCACTCAGTGTGGAGCGGACTACGGTCCAGTCATCGCCTTGTGTGTGCGCTTGATTCTCAAATAGAGCGTGCTTGTGTTCACCTATGAAGGAATGTGGGCCAGCTCCGTTGATGAAACATGGCTCTCATCCACCTTCCTCTCGGTCTTATTCCTTCGGGTTTACACTGGATATGGGGTGTGTGGATGGAGCTGTGGGTGGTGCAGCGCAAGCCATCCATGGTCCCTCTGTACGCGCAGATATCCTGTGGCTAACCACAGTGACAGGCAAATCCGAAGCCGGATGCTGTCAACCATACATACATACTAAAATTTATACTGCATTCTCTCCTGACACAACTTAATACTGTCAGCCACATGAGCGCGTTACACCACCTTGTCTCATAATAGCACTGTAGATGTCTACATGAAGTGTGAATCCGAAAACATATAAACGGTACTTCGATAAGCCTGCTGATCATACACCCTACGTGCCTGCTCATTCGCCTTGCATTCCGGATGAGCTGAAGCGAAGAAGAATGAAGGTGACTTCTTACGATCACATGGCTAGCGTCGCAGTTTTTGCGCGCTCCCTCAGTTCATGGAGGCTGTAACTGCGGTGGAACTTTTTAAAAGTCGTGACAGATTGCAAAAGTACTACCGTCAAAGACCTACGCGTCGTGGGAAGCCAAACGCCAGTTCACAGTGAAATCTGGTGAAGCCGACGGATGTTTGTATCGTCAAGAGTATAAAATAAAGGAAAGGACTACTAGGCTGCAAAGACACAGGATTTGGTATGGTATGTAATGACATGTAGTGGGTAAGCTAGCTGTAAGCGATTATCTTTCATATGTTTTTTATACAAACTTCTGTCAATGTTTCTAGTGTTTGCTGTGAGTCAAATATCTTCAAAGCATTTGGTATAGTGAGGAAGGTCTGAAGGAGATTTCGAAAAGTGACATGGCTTGTACACATGCGTATCTGTAGGGGTAGTTTGTTCCACAGATAAGTGTATCTCACTAAGAAGAAATTCGACCGAATTTTATGACTTGAAAGGTTTGTACGTATCAAGTAGCCGCCATTACGTGTGGGGTAGACTGCAGTCTTCCGTAGTTCAAGTGCGGTGCTGTCTGCGTAAATTCGTTGGTTTATAATGTTGTAGAAGAGAACGAGGTTGTTCTTTAAGCGTCTCAGCCAAAGTGGATCCAGCTGGAGTTTTCGACAGCGATCATAATAAGTCAGGTTTGAGCAGCGCCCCATGAGCAGCTTGGTAAATGATCGTTGGACATTTTCTAGAGCCGTTCTGTCTTTCTTTCTCAATTGGCTGTGAACGATAGTACAATATTCCAGAGTCGGTCGTACGATTGTCTTGAATGATTCAAGTCGTACTTCAGGTAGGGAGAAAGTTCTGGTGATATATCCGCATAGCTGCCTTGCTTTCGCAACCTGATAAAGAACATGTTCGGAGAAATTGAAAGAGTTGGAGTACCTAATTCCTAAGTCCCGAACTGAATCAGACGTTGGGATCACGTTTCCGGCAAGTATAATGGAGCCTTCTGGGATGCGGCATCTGTACCCAAGTACTTGGGATTTCACTGCGGAGAACTTCATTAATAAACGCTCACTAGCTATATTTAGTGCGGATAGGTCTTCACAGATGTTCCCCAAACACATATGTAGTTGGTCTGGATGAAATGAGTAAACCAGTTTGACATCATCTGCAAACAGAAATGGATGTCCATGTTTGATCGGGTCACATATATTGTTTACATAGATTAAGAAAAGTAGCGGTCCGAGCACACTTCCCTGGAAGACACCGCTGGTTATTGGCTTCGGTGTAGAATGTTGCTGACCGATTTTAACGACCTGAGTTCGACCGTTTAGGTATGAGTCGAACCAGTTAAGCAGCGGATTTCCAATTCCATATGACTCTAGAGCAGACAGCAGTGGCTGGTGTGGCACGCGGTCGAACGCCTTTTGCATGTCCAACAGAATTATAATAATTGCCATTCCTCTGTCAATCATAGTCGTGATGTGATCGAGAAATTGTAGCTGGCATGTAACGCAGGAGCGTTTTGAGAGAAAGCCGTGCTGTGAAGGGTTGATCAGATCCAGTCTTGTAAGATATTGGACGATGTTCTTCTTGACTATTCGCTCTAGGGCTTTGGAAGCAGCAGAGGTGTGATTTATTGGGCGGTAGCTTGACATTTGATTTCTCGGTCCACCCTTGTGCTTAGGCATTATAATGGATTGCTTCCATTGAGCTGGAAAGCAGCCGGTAGTGAGTGAAAGTGTGAAAATGTTTAGTAACAATAGTGCGAGGTTTTTTCCTCCGAGTTTTATAACAGTTGGGGAGATGCCATCTGGACCTGGATGAGTTGATGGTTTTATGGCTGCGATGGCACTTTGCACCTCTCTTAACGTCACAGGGATATTGCAGTATAGTTCGGTCGTTCTTTTTGGAAGTGGAGGATGAAGTGGCTGAATGTTGGGGACAAAAGAGGAGGCAAAACTAGAGTTCATGGCCTCGCATATACAGGAGATGTCGCGCGTTATTGAACCATCGTCTAGAGCCAACGTTTCAATTTCCTGTAGTGGTTTAGGGTTTCTTCTTTTGAGTAGTTGCATCAATGCACGTACTTTCTCAGGATTTCTGAGTACCCGGCTTTCTTCTTTGGTTTTGACCGTTAGGGTTAGACGTTGTAAATATAGTAAGTTCTCGTGTATTTGTAGCAATGTTGCGAAGCTGTTGTTCCTGCTGTATAGCGATTTGAGTTTCTTTAGTTTTATTTTGGCTTTGGACAGAAGCTTGAGTTCACCCCTATGTTCATGGGTATTTCTCCTTACAGTAGGTGCTAGTAGATCCACAACAAGGGCAATATTGTTTATAAACTCATTTGTAGCCACAGTAGGGTTGTGGGTTAGGAATGACGTATTCCAATTCATGGTACTGATAAGTTCATTAAATGCGTTCCAGTCCACACGATGGAGGTTGCGAATGGGTTTTAGCATTTTACTTGGTCGTTTAGGTAAATCAATAGTCATATCACAAAGCACCGTGTTGTGATCACAGCCAGGTAGTGGATTATCAATGAATGTATAAGCGTTCGCGATTCCCATCGTGAATACAAGGTCTAAGGTAGTAGCACTTCTAGTTGGCTCTCTAACATGCTGAGTCCAGCCATTGAGGTGGATACATGCGATAATTTCCTCAATCTCCGCCGTGTTTCTGAGTGTAGGCAGCGTCCAGTTAACATGTGGTAGGTTGAAATCTCCACACATAATTTTGGATTTGTATGTGGTGCTGGAAGCAACATTGATCATATCGATTAGCTTTTGGGTTGCAAATTGAGTAGTTCGGGGCGGCCGATAGATACAACCCACTAGAAGATCAATAGATGGGATCACTAGCCATAGTGTATCTTCTAAGTCAATGAACACAGGTTGATCTGCGGGAATGGCAGTCAGGTTATTTCGAAGATATATGGCACAGCCACCACCACGTTTGTGCGAGCGATCCTTGCGGAAAAGCTTATAGCCTAGGATGTTAAGCTGAGAATCACTAATTTCTGACGTGCACCAAGTTTCAGTGATAAAAACAATATCGGGGGATCTCATAAACATAAGTGTTGAAAGTATATCTAATTTAGGTAAAAGGGAACGAATGTTAATGACGACAGCATTGAAAGACATTGTTAACATGGAATGAAAGTGGTGGGTAATGTTTGTTTCATCGTCATTGTATCTGAGAATTGTGTGTTGTGAGGTAGCTGAGGCACACTGAGCTCCAGATCGTACTGGATTGAATGAAGTACATACTCCAGTAGTTTGATTAATCTCTGATTCATAATCGCACGTGATAGGGGCAGGATTGGTGGGGGAGGAAGTGGTGGTATGCGATAGTCTAAAAAAGGACTGACATCCGTAGTATACAGGGGTGGGGGGATGCTGAAGTCGACGAACTCATTTTGCTTCGGTTTGTATTGTTGCCAATTGAGTAATACAGCGGGTGGTGGTGGGTGAATTTTGACTTGAGGTAGATAGGGGTTGCACCCTCTTACCTGTAAGTCCTTGTGGCCTACCAACTTTTTGTTTGCTAATTCGGTGTCGCACACATAAGGACTTTGCCAGCTTGAGGTCGCGGGATTTGGAAACGTAGTCAGAGGCATTGTGGGTAAGTATTGGGCCGGCTCTCTGCAACTTATCCCGACAACAGTGTCGGTTTTGCATGTAGAGGCTTGAGGACGTATACTTTTTCTCAGTTGGCCTAGCTGCATATCCCTACGCTCTGGTGGTGGTTGCTTCAGACCTAATGAGCTTTGAGTGCTTATGGGAGAAATTCTGGCAGGGTGCTTTCCCCTGTTTTTGCCTACGCCTCGGTTGGTCGGAGATAACCTATAGCTTAGTTCATTCGGGTCGGATTGAGATTTATTTTTCGGGCTGCCAACGTTACAATCTGATTTTTTGTCTCGCTCACGATAGGTCTCAGGTACAGTTACTGTAAACTTTTGTAAAGGCTCGCAGTTTGGAGAAGGGATAGGGGAGTTGAGTGTGTGGTCAGCAGGTGTCTGCGTCGTTGTATTTTCAGCTTGGTTGGTAGTTTTAGTTTTGGACACATCACTACTGCTATTTGAGATTCTTTCATGAGGCCGCTGAAGACTGAGATGTCCATCATCGCCTATATTAGACGACGCGGTTGACTTGTCAAGGTCGACATTGCTGATGATAGCGTCAGTACTGGCTTCATTAGTAGGAACATGGGGTATATGATGGGTGGAGGGTTTTGTTTCATTGTTAATCGTCTTTGAAGAGGCGTTTGATCGTGTTTGATAATAATATTTTTAAAATTAGTTTGTGCAGCAACTAGTCTTTTACTGCGTACAAATTTAGATGCGCTCCTATCGTCTGGAAACTGTAAGAGTATCGGACATGTGGTCATGTTTTCCTTTTTCCTCAGTCTGAGGCACTGACAGGAGACTCCATCCATATTGCATGCTTTTAAGAGGGTATTTGTTACCCTGTCGATGTTCGGTTTATCAGGCACGTTAAAATGATAACGTTATGCGATCTACGGAGGCGTTCTTGCGTTTCGGATGTAACTGAGTCTAGTAAGGAAGCAGCTGTGCTCAATCGGTCCAGTGTAACAGTTTCTGAGCCTCTAAGCAGTTCACAGAATGATAGGACTTGTTCATAGTATGCGGTGAATTCATGAAGCTTGCATTTCAGCGTGGCTACTTCTTCCTCAAGGGCTATAATCCGGTCTGTCGTGTCAGTCGGAATTATGGTAGTAAAGTTGGAGTGGTTTGCAACTACATCGACTTTTTGGGATTTAGATGATGGACATCCCTTTTTTACAGTAATATCGGGTGGGTTTCTATCCGTGCTATCAGAGGGTTTTATAGTCTTTTCTGTTTTCAACTTCAGCCTGAGGAGGGCGCTTCTCGTTTTCACATTATTAACAGGCATTTCTAGTGGGTACTCGGAAGAATGTTATGGTGCTGAGTGTAGGTCTAATAAGTGTTGAATAGAAATACAACCGCAGGGGGACGAGAAAAAATATGGCGCAGTTTTTACTACTATAAGTGGTGCAAACTAACCGGTTTACATTCCGGGTTGTTTTCGCTGATGGGCAAGTTCTTTGATTTCTCTGTCACCTGCGCGGTTTGTTCGTTAGTTTCTTGTGTTCGTCTATGTGCACGGGTCTATGGCTTACGCTGCCGGGCGGGTGGTAGATGACCATCTGACGTTTAGGTAATTCGCTCACACGATGTGACACGCGCGCAAGGTCGAGCGGCTTTGGCGTGAGAGAAAGCTCGCGTCTATTGATCGATGCCGTTTTGGGTCGGTTGTCGGTGAGATGCAGTCCGCGCCGTGGAGCTTGGGTCAGATAGTGGGAAATCCGATTTGCTGGTCGTATTAGGAAATGTGGCTCAAAGTACCGCCAATAGTTGTAGATTGCGATGGTATGGAGCTGACCAAGTGGTTGTTGAATAGAGCTGATAATTCCGAGCCGAATGATTGGAATTTGGTTGATGTACGTTGAGATGTGTAAGGAAAAATCCACTGCAGAGTGGAGCACGGAGTGATTTGGAAGGTTTTGACACGGATTTCCTCGGCTGTGAGCTATCGGTGTCATGGCAGAATCTCCAAGTGAAGCGTCTATGGTTGGACCTGTGGATGGTGCAGGGCAAGCCATCGGTGGTCCCTCGGCAGGCTTAAGCGTCCTTTGGCTGCCCCGCGCAGAATTCATTACTGTCAATTACGGAACCGCATGCCGCAACGATTGTACACTCCATATAGACCCAAGGATGATCTTGTTTGCCTCTTAATCTATTCATCTTGCATAAGCTGCAGTTTGATGCATTTCGCGTTGAACACTTTACTGCTGTTGGAAATCGGATTACCCAATTTGACATCTTTCACACATGATTCACTTATTTTTGTATTCTGAGGCCCACTACGCATCTCGCCTGCTGAGGGAATGTTTCGACCCATTAGACTGACTCTCCATTGATGCTTGACAGTTATTCGAATGTTGACGAAGTTGTGCATTGTACTTTCTAGACAGCCGTCTGTCATTCCGGTCTAGTGCGTTTGTGTGACCGTGAGGCTGTTCATGCGGTGTATTGTAAAATATTTTCTTGGCTGGGGGCATTTATCGTCCCAGGGTAGATTAGTCGAGAGACTGAATGATGTTCGTTGCGAGGAAATGTGAGGTCTAGTTTAGCTGCTCATACATTATTGGGTTGGGGAAATGAGCGCTTGTTCCTGTATCCTTGGAAAGCACTACCGAGTGAGACCACTACATATGTTTGTCGCTTGGAATAACATAATGTTTTGCCTGTGGGTGTCGAGTAAACAATTCCCGGAAATTAGTGTTCTGGGTACTGTGCAGTAAACTTGTACTATTTCGGAGAGAATTAATTCCTCGGTTAATATTCCTTAGCTCAATGAGTAACTGTAGATCCAGTGATGTATAACCAAACGAGATGGAGTAAATTTCAAAAGAATGAGGAGTGCACAATTGAGCATAGGTGTGAAGCGCATAGCTCATCTTCTATGTTTCCAAGTATTGAGTGGTGAATTGTTGGGACATTTTGTCCGAGACAATAATCAAGGCGAAATCCTTTTCGAATTACACATTGCGAAAGCGCATTGCACCTGAATCAGATGTTGCACAATTAAACAATCGTGATGACACGTGGGAATATTGGACGTGGTTCCATGTGTTTTCCAGCTAACATCTCGATGAAGTAACACAAAAGTAGGTCTTCTAGCTCCTAATCTCAGTGTTCAGTAATCAGTATTCAGACCAGTTGATATTTTTGTACGGCTATCTTAAGGCCGGAGCCTCAGTTGATGGTGGAGTGAGTTTAAATTCTGGTCGACATAGTTATTTACCGATGGTGGTGTCTACCTCGTGAACCTAAGCTTCGGAGGTCTGTTTTATAACCTCATCGTTAGGGCTGAACTTTCCACAAGAATCAGGAATTGCCACTCATCAACCTTTGCATGTGGCAACTGCTCAGTTATTCAAAATCCCTGTTGGATGCGGTCAAGCTTATGGGATCCAATATTAACCACCAGACACTACACAGATAGAGTATATCGGTTTAATGGAAAGCGAAATTGATTCACAAGGAACAAGTACATTGCAGCATTGAAGGCACAACGAGCAACTTCATAGTGATCCATTAAGTGTGGTTTGCTTTAGCGTATATATATATATATATATATATATATATATATATATATATATATATATATATATAAGCAGCGATAAGCTAATTTGCCGGTTTAGAATTTGACAAGATTGCCGACTCGGTAGCAGAAGTTCAGTCCTCTCTGCTCATCTATGCAGCAATTATTGAATCTCGTCGTTCAGGCTCACTTCTTACTAACGGGGAAACTAATCGAAAGCCGAGTAAAGCATACAACAAGTGGACTAGTTATGGAAGTTGAAGTGGTAGTTCAACTGCAATGCATTCCTCACACATATCAGGCGTGTTGTTCGAAGTAGGCCCGGCAAGGTCAATTTCAAGGTCGGCTGTAACCAACGCATACCTAGCAGCAGCTGCTTGATGCTCCAAATACCACAGTGGAAACGTCTTTAAGCAGGATACAGATTTACCAAACAACACAGCCAACAATACTTCTACCGCTGAATACAATGAGTTGTCTAATCACAAAAGTATTCTCGAAGAATGTATATGGTGAAAAGACGCTACTTTACTTTCTGCTTTTGCTTACAGTAAGGCCACACAGCGTCACAATCATCTGCTTTGCACTACTCGCATTGGGAAGAAGACAGAAGTGCATGGTGACAGGTTGTTCCCAGAGGATAAGTGATTTTCTGTTTAAACTATGGAGGCCACATTGTCGGAGTGGTTGGCGTGACGGTCTGCAAACGTCTCATTCCGCTCAGTGATCACATGATTAAAGAATTAAGTTAATAATTACAGATGTGGTTCTCCCATTCAACGGCTGTCTTTCCAGTCACCAAATTATATGATGCAAGAGAGCGAATGACTGGGGGACAAGACAGATGAACGACAAACTTTGACATTAAAGCGGTTGTAGCTGCAACCAAGACACACCTAGGAAGGCGAATTGTAAACCTCTGGTCGGGTTTTTGGGTTTGATCAAGTAGTAGATTTTGATGAGCATTGGGCAAAAGTTAGTGATGAATTGCATGGAGTAAGAGAAGTTCCAACTCCAATCATTCCTTCCGCGAGGACAGATGGCGTTTCAGTTTTCATTTTTATGCTGTAACGTGCTCTGTTACAAAACAACGTAGAAATGAGGTGGAGATTGCATTTAGAAGTATGACGGCTCAGTCTGCCCTCCGTGACTTAGGTTAGTTGCTCGAAGTCTAGTGAGCTTGGCGGCGTTGGCCGACGTAGGTTGTCAATGTAAACACAAGGATGAACAGAATGAGACGCGGTTTATTCATCGCAGTTGGAGCGAATACGAGCAATGCATTTAAACGAAGACGTATGTTCCTAATATCGGTAGACTCAGGTTGTATTTGTGCATATTGATGATGACGGATATGACCCATATTCGCTGCCTCCACTCTGCATGAGGGATATTCAGCCTAGTCCTTAAACCCGCCGTGTCCCGATGGATAATGCATTTGCGTTAACGGTTCAATCAGAACAAAGTGAGGCTATCCGTAATATCATAATCTTATTGAGAAGTGTAGTCATACGGAAAGAAGGAATTAAACGAGGAGAACTCATTTGTTACCAAAAGCTAACATGTGTAGTACAATATTAAAAACGACATAAACTTCTTGCACTGGATAATTTCATTCAGCATTATTAGCAACTCAGATTTCTTGTTTTATTGCTCAGGCAAACTATTTTTCCACCTGAGATTATATTTTGCTTTTGAACACCTGTTTCGGGTTGCTTGTTCCCGTTGTACCACGATTCCTAAAGAAGCTAGGAATCCTGCCTCCTCTTGGCCACTTCTATATCATATTTTAGCAACTTTGTAAAGCAAAACGTATCCTGGTTTTAAATTGGGTCATCTTTTGCCCTTTTGTTGCCGTTTGTCACATCAGTCTATTTGTGGAGAAGACTTGAATGTGACTATTACCTTGGACATGAGTCAAGTAAGGCTGTTGATGTTTTTATCACCCTCGGCTCAAATACTCGGCGAGCAACCAGTCGGTCATCGTTGATACTTCGGAGTACTTGTAAATAGCCACCTACTTAAGAGGGGGAACAGAGTGGAATCGTACTGAGGTGAGCAACTGGTGGAGCTTCGTAGCGGTAATTTGGTCAGAGGTTCGTCTCCACCGATTGAACCAAAACATCACGACTGACCAACAGAAAGGTAGCAATGTAGGTATTTTCGCCATCTCTAAAGGACAGGTAATCTTCATGACCGTCCTGTCTTCGCCTCAGAAATGTTTGGGAGGATAACATGACAACTATATAAAGGTGCTGTCAGATGTCATAACCGCAATTCCCTGCATACCAGATAGTTGTTCTCAAAAGTCTTGGAGTGGTACGACCAGAGAA